CTTGTTTTGTTTTTCGTGTTTCTTCCGGTACCAGGAATCGAACTCACGACCTAGCGCTTGCCAGGCAGGCGCTTTTGCCGCTGAGCTAAATCCCCAGCCCCAATCCCTAGCCCTTTTGAAATTTATTTGTTTACTTATTATTTTGGAGCCAGGAATCGCACTCAGGACCTTGCACTTGCTAGGGCTGGGGATGAAGCTCAGCGGCACAGCGCCTGCCTGGCAAGTGCGAGGTCCTGAGTTCGATTCCCAGCACCAAAAAAAAAAAAAAAAAAAAAATTAAAAAGCATATCAATCCCCGATGCTTACCCTTAGGGAAAGTACGTAGGTGCATTTGATTCATCTCTTGTGTGGAGGTCTGGCCCTCAGCTGCAGGTGTCTGTTCCCCCCACAGTTGTAAGATATCCCACCCTCCGCACTGGCTCCTTGGAGATCCTGGCCCTGTCTGACTCCTAGAAGATTCCCGCCGAACTTAGCTGGCTCTAACACTATGGTTACAAACAGCTGAATTGAGCAGAAATATTCGAGGCAGCCAGACAGGGCCGGCCCTCGAGGGGCTCCGTGCAGAGGAGAACACAGCATAGCCGCGGCTGGCGGCGCATCTGAGGGGGGCCAGGCCTCAGGATAAAGACGGAATGACCAGGCCTACACGCCTCTCCGAGGGATAAGCAATAGACTATAATGGGTATCACCTGGTCAGTGAAGTCTAGACGGACTTCTTCACCCAGGTGGGTGCCCGGGACCTCCTGGCCCGGCCCTCCCAGGCAAGCTCCTTGCTCCTCCCGTGCACCCTCGCTACGTGACCGCTGCCCCACTGGACCGGTGCTACCTAACCGGCTGTCCTTGTAATTTTTTTTTTTTTTTTTTTTTCTTTTTGAAGCAGGGTCTTGCTATGCAGTTCAGGCTGGACTTGGGCTCACTTTGTAGCACAGGCTGGCCTCGAACTCAACAGCAGTCCTCCTGCCTCAGCCTCCTGAGTGCTGAGATTACAGGTGTGTGCAATCATGCCCAGCTCTTTTACTTGTTAGCTTACTGGTTGATCATAGTTTTGTCCCACATTGTACCCACCTCGTGTTTCGCTCTATAAAACTTCCCCTAAGTAGGTCAGAGGCAACCCACTCAGAACCCCTCCTGTCTCTCAGAAGCTGTCTCTCCCTCAGTAAAATTTCCCACTTGTAACCTCCCTTGTTCCTCAGAATTCACTCTCCTACTTTGGGGAGCGCAAACTCCGTGTATCTGGTATCTGACAGGTGGAGGGTTACAGTATTCCCTTATAGCCTTTATAGGACCTCTGTCAACCGGCGCGATGGGGTCAGCAGGTTTAACCCAGGCTCCCCTGCGCGGCAGGGATGAGGTGCAGAGCATAGCACTGGGTGTCCAGGGGCCGGCGGCGACAGTGACCGGGGGTCACAGGAAGCTGTGCTCGGGGACACTCCGTGCCAACAAGAAGACTGGTGTCGGGGTAGCCAGAAAGCAAAAGCACTGCCCACTGCACACGGACGAACCGGGCTTCCGGACTTTAAAGGCTCCGCGCCCAGCCCAGGTGCCCGCAGTGTGACTGACAGGAATGATTGACAGGGCGCTCAACACGCATGCGTGTCCCAGAATCAACGCTGATCTTAATCACATGCGGGGCACGTTATGCATATTCATGAACCCTTAATGAGGCGGGAGGTGAGGGGCAGCCTGGAGCATCAGCGATCTCTCAGGACCGTGCAAGGAGCAGGAGCCACAGTGTAACTGGCCCTGCAAACTAGAACTTGAAAAGTTCGTTTTCTTCCTTTAGAGACAAGTGGCCTCCTGCGGCCTAGGGCTTAAGCAGCTCCCCACCTCCCCTCGGCCCAGAGGGGTGTGCGTGCCCATCTGGAGGCTGAGCCCGGTTCCCTTTTGGAACGAAAGGGCCGTGGGGGAAGTGAGACCCGGCTGCCCCGCCCCTGTTCCCCACGGCAGAGCCCCCGCCCGCTGCAGGCCGGAGGTGGGGCGAACCCGCCCGCCGGGCGCACAGCTTCGCTGGCCACAGAGGGACTTCAGTGCCCCGGCCGGGGCAGGCTGCTCCTGGCCGGCTGCACCTGCACGCTGATGCCAGGAACACTCCCTCGGCTTTGAACCCTGGGGATCTGTGCTTCCCCAGTGCGGCTCAGCGGCCTGTACACGCTGTGTTGATGAGAAAGAACCCAGAGGTCGTTGGGCACAGCCACCTGGGTGAGGTAAGGACCGTTGTGGTGTTCAGAGGTAGAAGAAAAGTTCTGGGCATTTGTACTGCTTTGGAGTCCTCAATTGCTTCGCTCAGCTTTGCTGTGCTTTTGGTGGTTTTTTTTTTTTTTTTTTAATCTTTGCTTTTTTGAGACAGTTTTACTATGCATTCATTTCAGGCTGGCCTCGAACTCGGAGCAATCCTCCTGCCTCAGCCTCCTGAGTGCTGGGATTACAGGAGCGGGCCACCACTCCCGGCCTCTTTCTCTTCTTATAAAAAGCTTTATTGTAGGACGGGGAGCAGGATTTCAGTACCATCTAGAATCACGTAAGTGACTGGGGCCTCAGGTCATTCCGAGGCTTCTTTGTGAGCCCAGCTGGAGTTCCAGGTGTTTCTGTTTTTTTTGAAGCAGGGTCTCCTTATGTAGCTCAGGCTGGTCTCAGACTTTCGGTGATCCTCCTGCCTCAGCCTCCTGAGTGCTGGGATTATAGGTGTGCGCCACCACACCTGGCTAAAGTGTTTGCCAAAACAGTTTGCTGAACTTGTTGCCAACTACCTCCATTCCTTAACTAGAGAAGTTTGACCACAGGTGTCGGCCTTTGTGTTCTCCCTGTGGGGAGTGCTGCTCCTACTAGAGCCCTCGAACAGCAGAGCCGGGTTAGTGTTCTAGGCAGCTAAATTAGAAGTTAATATACAGGGGCTGGGGATTCAGCTCAGCGGCACAGCGCCTGCCTGGCAAGCGCAAGGTCGTGAGTTCGATTCCCAGTACCAGAAAAAAACAAAACAAAACAAAAAAAACAGAACAAAACAGAAATTAATATACAGTGGGAGAGGAGCTAGGCTCACTAGGAAGTCAGTGGAAAATAAAAGACCTGGCAACTTCGGCTGGAGGCGCATCTTGAGAAGGCCAGGCCTAAGAGTGCCAAGTGTGCTTGCCTCCAGGCCTCCCAGGAGGATAAGCAGTAATTTGAAATTATACCATAATTAGCACCACCTGGTCCAGGAAGTTCAGCTAGGCATCAGTCACCCAGGTGGGTGAACAAAACATCCAGACCTATCCCTCCCCCAAGTTCAGTTTTTGTTTCCTTGTCTTGTCTTTTTCTTTTTTTTTCTTTGAGACAGGGTCTCGCTATGCAGTTCAGGCTGGCCTTGAACTCACTTTGTAGCCCAGGCTGGCCTTGAACTCAATGATCCTCCTGCCTCAGCCTCCTGAGTGCTGGGATTACAGGCGTGTGCCAGCATGCCTAGCTTTGATTTTTAAAAACCTTAGTCCCGACATTTCCGGAGGCTCGCTTTGGTTCGATTGGCTGTATTTCTGTTTCTGCCTTACACTGACCGCTCCTCTTCTGCGAACCACACTGCATGGAACTTATCTCCCCCTCCCCTGCCCTTCCTGTCATTGCCCCGCCCTGGCAAGGCTCTGGGAGTGCTCTCGGGGACAGACAGACGCTTCTGTCCTGTGGCTCTGGGAGCCTGTGAGGTGACGCTGAGGAAGCTGGCGTTCCTGTCACACAGGCTGTGAGGAGCGTGGCAGTGGCACATGGTCCTACAGATGCTGAGCACGTGTGCTGTGCTCTGCCTTCACCTGGGCCCTTGCTTTGCCGCTGGCCTGCAAGGCGACACAGTGGGTACCTGGCACCAACGAAAAGGCATATTAGATTCAGTAAAACAAAGCCCCATTATCTTGCATTTTGGCTATCTTCATACGTTAAATATGCCGGAGCTTCTGCTGTGTGATTCTTTTAGCCCGGGCTGGCCACCTGGAGAGGCCTGTTGGGGGAGGGGCGGGAGCGTGCTTGGGGCCTGAGGTCACGTGGGCGCAGGGCTGCGGCTTCTTCTCCTGAGCTTTGGCTCCCACACCAAATATGGTGCAGCTGGGTGACCAGATGCGGGTCACGCACTCTTCCTGCCCACAGTGGCCCAGGTCCCAGCACCCAGGGCTCCCTGCAGTCAAGGCTCCTCTGCGGCTGGCCGTCTTCCATCTGCTGTCTGTCTGTCTGTCTGTCCGTCCACCCATCACGGTGGCTCACAGGGGGTTAAAAATGCTCAGGACCAAAATAGCCTCTCTCCCCACAGCTCGGGCGGGGGAGCCAGGGTCATGATTTGTACCACAAATAAGTAAAAGGCACCACGCAGGAGAACAAGAGCAGGCAGAGTATGAGGTGTGAGAGAAACTGGTGAACGTTTAAGTCAACAAAAATGTATTACAGGAAAGGACACATGCCGCGAATCCCCTCAGAGTCCCACAGATCCTGCCCTTGCTTCCAGCTCACATCCTGTCCTTCTTGGCAGTGAAGATTTACTGTAATCATTTTTTTTTTTTCTTTTGAGACAGGGTCTTGCTATGTATTCCGGGTTGGGCTTGAACTCACTATGTTGCCCAGGCGACCTTTAACTTGCGGCAGTCCTCCTGCCTCAGCCTCCCAAGGGCGGGGGTAACAGGTGTGCACCAGCACGGCCAGCTCTGAGTTGTCCATTTAAAGTGTCCCTGGCTGCCAGGTGTGAGGGCGTCAGTGAGCAGCTGATCGCTGCGGGAGAGGCCTGGCTCCCTGTGTGCTGGGGGCTGAGACCCCTCTGTCCTGCTGCTTCCCTCTGACCCCCTGCCCAAGCGCTGTTGCCCCGTGGACCATGTCCTTGTCCTTGTCTGTTTCTGAAGGCTCCTCGCTTCCTGGACAGGCTGGGTCTGATTCTTTCCCGCCCCCGGAGCTGTCCAAGCTCAGCCAGTGGGCAGCAGGCAGATGGGCTGTGCCTGGGTGCGGTGAGGCCGGGAAGTCCCAGCGCTGATGTCTCTCTCCTCCGCCTGTTGCAGATGGACTTACGGGAGCGACGAGGGCACAGAGAGGCTGCGCTCCTGCTGCTGGAGAAGCTTGGCTGCTGAGTCGGGACGGTCTCCACCAGCCCGCCCGCCCGCTCCAGCCCCAGGCTCCGGGGTGAGGGGACGGCTACTCAGGGATTCTGGGTGTCCCGGGGGTGGCTCCCTGCCTCCTCTGGCACCCAGACAGCACCTGGTCGGTTCCTCAGCCCCCTGGCACCCAGGATTCCTGGGCCCTGCCTTAAAAATGATGCCACTGTCCCCTGGGGCTGCCAAGCTCAGAGGGAGGGGACTGGGACTCAGAAGGGGCCGGGGGAGTGCTGGCCGGCTTGCTGTTGATAGTAAATACCACGTGGGTGACCAGGCACCTCTCGGTCCCCCTGTCGGTCTCCCTGCCGCAGGAGCTCGGGACAGCATGAACCTGGACCCCCTGCCCTGCCGCTCGAGGACCGTGCGACTCCGCGTGACCTGCAGAACCTTGCTGGGCCTGTTCGCTGGTCTGGGCGACCTAGGTGAGCGCGGCCCCCTCAGGACGACTGTCAGGGTCCGAGGACACAGTGTGGGCGGGCGCTGGGAAGGTCACCCAGGGCATGCGGGCTCACGGGGTTTACTAGGTGATAACAGGTGCATGGGTGAACGTAACGTGGGAGGACAGGGCCACAGCCTGGCTTGTACCCTGGCCATCTGTGGCACACGGGAGTGGCCCTTGCCACTGGCCACATGGACGTCACTGGACAGTGACGGGTGGAAAGCTGTTAGTGTTAGTCAAGGTCGCAGACCGTGGTACGAGCTCCCTGTCCCTTCCAGCTCCACACCTGTGCTAGAGGGCGGGGCCGCTGTAACCGGAGACCCCGCGTGTCTGCCGCTGCTCGAGGCTCCAAGCGCCTGGACCCAGCGTGGTGCCCATCCTGACGCAGTTCCTAAGCCAAGTGGTGTTGTTCTGGGCTCTCTGTCCCCAGGCCTGGTCACATGCCAGGTGGCAGTACTGTCCCCTTTCATGTCCCAGCTGCCCACCGTGGGTGACACCAGCCCAGTGCTTGGGAGCTTATGTGTTCTTACAGAAAGTGAAAGGGGCCCGACCGAGACCTCTGTCTGTCGTCCGTGGCTGCTGTTTTACTACGTCCCCAGCCCATTCTTTATTTTTATTTTGAGACATCTTGGTGAGTCACTAAATTGCCCAGGCTGGTTTGAACTAGCTCGAAATCCTCCTGACTCGGCCTCCCAGGATGCTGGCATCACAGGTCTTCCTGCCTGAACGTTGGTGTCCCTCTCTTGCAGACTAGCCAGGTCCGTGATCTGGGGAGACTATGTCCAGGCCCCCGGACTGCCTGCTGCAGCTGCTGTGGGGCACCCCCAGGCAGCGGGTCTGCACCTTCTTGCTCTTCGGCTTCAAATTCTCGTTCTTCGTCTCCCTTATCATCTACTGGCATGTTGGAGGAGAGCCCAAGGACCAAGGCCGCCTCTATAACCTGCCTGTGGACATCCCCTGCCCCACGTTGGGGCCCCCCGGCCCGCCCAACAGCACGCGACTTGCGGGCAGCAACATCTTCTTCCTGGAGACTTCGGAGCGGACCAGCCCCAACTTCCTGTTCATGTGCTCGGTGGAGTCGGCCGCCAGGGTGCACCCCGAGGCACAGGTGACCGTGCTGATGAAGGGGCTGCGCGGCGCCCCGCCGCCCCGGAACCTGGGCACCTCGCTCCTGGGCTGCTTCCCCAACGTGCAGATGCTGCCGCTGGACCTGGACGCGCTGTTCCGGGGGACCCCGCTGGCCGCCTGGCATGCGGCCTCCCGGTGGCGCTGGGAGCCCTACCTGCTGCCCGTGACCTCGGACGCCGCGCGCATCGCGCTGCTGTGGAAATTTGGGGGCGTCTACCTGGACACGGACTTCATCGTCCTCCGCAGCCTGGGGAACCTCAGCAACGCGCTGGGCGCCCAGTCGCGCTACGTCCTCAACGGCGCCTTCCTGGCCTTCGAGCGGCAGCACGAGTTCCTGGCGCTGTGCATGCGCGACTTCGTGGCCCACTACAACGGCTGGGTGTGGGGCCACCAGGGCCCCCAGCTGCTCACCCGCGTCTTCAAGCGGTGGTGCAACATCCGCAGCCTGGCCCAGGGCCGCAGCTGCCGCGGCGTCACCGCCCTGCCGCGCCAGGCCTTCTACCCCGTGCCCTGGCAGAGCTGGAAGAAGTACTTCGAGGACATCAGCCCCGCGGAGCTGTCAGGGCTGCTCAACGCCACCTACGCCACCCACGTGTGGAACAAGAAGAGCCAGGGCATGCGCTTCGAGGCCACGTCCCGGACGCTGCTGGCGCAGCTGTACGCCCGCTACTGCCCCACCACACACGCGGCCATGCGCCTGTACCTGTGAGGGGCCCGCTGGGGCTGGGGTGGGAGCAGGAGGCGGGAGACAGTGTGGGGCAGGGAGGTGGGGTGCCCCGGCCCGCATCTGCCCCTCCGGGCCAGCACGGCGGTGGTGGACATGCGCTGGGCCAGCGCCTTGTTGGGGCAGAGGCCGCCTGGGCTACATGAGCATCTGGGGTAGTGTCGACAGCAGGCCGTAAGATTGCCTGGGACCCAGCACTTGGAGGCTGAGACAGGAGGATCACTGAGAGTTTAAGGTCAGCCTGAACTAGGTGGCCAAGCTGTCTGAAAAGAGCAGACCTGGGCTGGAAGCAGCTTCCAGGAGGCTCAGGGAAGCTGGGTGGGCTGGGGCTGGGGCTGAGGGGGGCAGGGGAGCTGGAGACCCAGGCCCAGGAGCCGGGTGGGCTGGGGGCTGGGGGCTGGGGGAGGAGGGCTGGGCGGGGGCCGGGCCGCTGGCTGAGGGGCTGTGTGCTCGGCCGTGGCAGGTGACACACGTCAGTGCCACCCCCCGGCACAGGCTGCAGAAGTGCTTTTGGCTGGAGAGAAGCATCTTAAAGACCCCAGGCCGCTGTTGTGAGCAGACAGAGGCCACTCTGGAGGCCAAAAGGCCACCGTGGGACTTGGAGGAGCCCAGGGGAGTCGGCGCGTCTGCCAAGCAAAACGCCAGGAATCAGCCGCCTGCCGAGCACAGCGGTTCACGGAGCGGGGGTCGTAGGCACGGCAGGACGGAGGGCTCGCCCCCGGCTCGGCTGGGAGCTGCAGGGGGCCCCGGGGCGCAGGACCTTTCTTCCACCCAGTGGACGCGTGGAACACGGGTCAGAGTGACGGTCGTAGACGGCCGCAGGGCTCACAGCGGGAACCGGAAGCCCGAGCCCAAGACGCCGTGGGGCGCTGAACACGAACCCCGCGTGCTCGTCTCACAGCCGGGTACACCTCACACGCTGATCTCACGGTGGTAAAAATATATTTTTCTTTATGGTGAAAACTTTTTAGAAAACATTTTTGTAAGTTTCTCGAAAGGGTTCACAAGAGGAGTTTCCTGGCACGCAGGCCGGGGGGTTGTCACCCTGGGCGACCGCACAAGCTGCCACACAGGCACACGGGCCGATGGCTGTCACAAGCGAGTTTAGACTCGGAAGGAAGACTGGAGCCAGGCAGATGCGTTAAGGTGACTTCTGTCCCGCCCGCAGCAGCTGTTACAGTGCAGAATAATAAAATGACTCACACAAAGTGCGCTGTGACCCACGGAATGCTTCCGGCTCACAGCCCGTTCGTCCCGCTGTACAGCTGCAGGTGGGAGAAGCCTGTTTTTCCCACCTCGGTGTCCAAGGTTTGCAGAAAGCCTTGAGCAGAGTGTGGTGGCCCAGGCCTGTAATCCCAGCACCTGGGAGGCTGAGGCAGGAAGATCGCTGTTGAATTCAAAGCCAGCCCGAGTTACTTAGCGAGACCCTGTCTCAAAGCAAAAGCTTTGGTGGTTTCTTACAAGTTTTCCGGGTTCTACCCTGGTAGAAGCCTAGATCTGTTTTAACCTTACTGGAGCCTCAGGGTAAGGCCTGGCGCTGGCTGGGCTGGCTGGGGGCCTGGGCTGGGCCAGAGGAAAATCTGAGCTCTGCGTAGCGCAGCCCCAGCTGGTTCCAGTTAAGGGTTTGGCCTCTAATGCCAGGCCTTCTCACCAGGCAGAAGGTGGCGTCCAGAACGGGGACCCTGCAGGAGCTGTGCAGCAGCCACCAAAGCTGGCATTTATTGGCCTCTGGACTCTGCCTGCTGAGCAGCCGGGCAAGGGGTAAGCTGCCTGGCTCCAGAGGTATTCAAGAGCGGCTGATGTCTCTGCCGAAGATAAAGAATTGTCAGCTGATTATCTTTCCAACCACAATCTGATTTCACTTAGTGATTTTTAGGGTCTTGCTGGCTTAACTTTATGAATGTAAAGCTGGGCATGGTGGCACGTGACTGTAATCCCAGCACTCAGGAGGCTGAGGCAGGAGGATCGTTGTAAGTTTGAGGCCAGCCTGAGCTGCATAGTGAGACCCTGTCTCAAAAAGACAAAACAAATGAATATAAATAATATCTGCAACTCTATTTGAATGGGTCAGGTTTTTTTTTCTTTTCTTGAGACAGGGTTGGATGTAGCAGAGCATACCTATAATCCCAGCATGCAGGAGGCTGAGGCAGGAGGATCTCTGTGAGTTTGAGGCCAGCCTGGGCTCCATAGTGAGTTGAAGGCTAACCTGGGTGCCATAGCAAGACCATGTCTTGTTTTGGGGTGGTTTTTTTTTTTGGTATTTTTCAGACAGGGTCTCGCTATGCAGTTCAGGGTGGCCTTGAGCTCACTTTGTAGCCCAGGCTGGCCTCAAACTCGCAATGATCCTCCTGCCTCAGCCTCCCAAGTGCTGGGATTACAGGTGTGTGCCACCACGCCCGGCAGCAAGACCATGTCTTAAAAAAAAAAAAAAAAAAGCAACAGTGTTACTGTATCAACCAGGAACACACAAGAGATAAGAGAAATGAAGATGTATGTGCATATAAAAACACAGGAGCCAGGCATGGTGGCGCACGTCTGTCATCCCAGCACTCAGGAGGCTGAGGCAGGAGGATCCCTGCAAGTTTGAGGCCAACCTGGGCTACGTAGTGAAACCCTGCCTCAAAAAAAAAAAAAAAAAAAATACCATACATGAGTGTCTGGGAAGTGTGACTTAGAACAGCCGAGGTGCAACCACCCCAGTAGCCACAGCTGGGGAACAGCGTGGTGATTCTCCTGGGGACGGGTCCTTTGTGCGAGTCTGTGGGTGGTTCCGCAGCATGGAGTGTGGGCACACCTCCCATCCTGGGGCCGTGAGGACAGGTGAACCAGGCCTCAACCAGCAGAATGCAGGCTCCCAGCCCTCAGATACGGGATCAACCCCAGCACCCTGCTCCCCCAGCCTCTGGTCTTGGGCTGGAATCACACTGCCCACTTCTGGGTTCTGAGACCTCTGGACCTGCACGGAGCTGCAGCCAAGATCCTGGGGTTTTCACTGGCAAAGGGCTGTGACATCTCAGCCTCTGTAATCACGGAGCTGCCTCCCCTAAAAATCCCTGTCCTCTCCTATCCATATCCAAAGCCTACTGCTCGGCTCTCTGGGAACCTAAGTCCACACAAGGGACTACTATGCAGCAATATGTTTTTGTTTTTTGAGAAAGAGAATCTTGCTATGTTTCCCAGCCTGGCCTTGAACCCTTGGGCTCAAGAGATCCTCCTGCCTCAGCCTCCTAAGTAGTTGGGACCACAGGCATGTAGCGCTATGCCCAGCTATTAGCAGTAAAAAGGAATGGGGGTCAGCGGTGACGGTGGTGATGGTTGTACAACTTGTGAATGTTCAAAAGCACATGGGAAGTTCTGCATGGTGGCGCACGCCTGTAATCCCAGCACTTGTGAGTTTGAGACCAGCCTGGGCTACAGAGTGAGCTCAAGGCCAGCCTCACTACATAGCGAGACCCTGTCTCAAAAAGATAAAAAAATAAAACCACATGGAGCAAAGTGTATGGCGTGCCCTATGCCTCCACGCTGGGCCACTTAGAACCCACGTGGCATTTGCCCCTGTAGCTCCGTGGACAGGGACACTCCCTGTCCATGTGTGGTCCCGCCTGGGCCAGCTGACTCTGGGCATCTTGGGAATATGTGCTCACGAAGGCCACGGTGCCCAGCCAGCCCCTGCAGGGTTGGTGACGGTGACAGGCTGAGCCTGGGTGGGCGATGGCTCTGTCCCCAGCCTGGCCTAAACTCCCGGCTGCAACCTGCCCCCAGGATGAAGCAGCTGGGGAGGTGGGGACGTGGGCAGGAGAGCTCAGGGAGAAGGGAGAAGTTCTTGCCTCAAGATCCTGAAAGACAGGACTCGGCGTAAAAGTGACGTGGCCCCAGCAGGGGGAGGGGCTTAGCACTGCTGACCTGTACCCTAAAATCGGGGGTGGTGGCACACGTCTGTAACCCCAGCTTTTGGGAGACTGAGGTAGAGGGATCACCACGAGTTTGAGACCAGCCTGAACTACATGAGACCCTGGCTCAGGAAAAAAAAGCAGAAATCACAAACAGAATTTCTCAAGTTTCGGGGAAATTAAACCAGTTCCTTTTTTGTCTTTTGCAATCCCTTTCTTCTTTCTTCTTCTGTTACACCCCCAGCCCCCGACCCCTTCTTTTCATACCAGCGTGAACTTCCTCATTTTTCTCTCATGAAATTTCTTCCTCTTTTTTGGGCAAGGAAAACCCATGACTCCTATGAATAACTTTCGGTCTGAACAGAGAAAAGCCGGGCACAGTGGTGCCCATCTGTTACCCTGGCTACTCTGGAGGCTGAGGCAGGAGGATCACAAGTTCTAGGCCAGCTTGAATCTGTATCAAGATTTACAAACAGCTGGGTGTGGTGGCACACGCCTCTAATCCCAGCACTCAGGAGGCTGAAGTACGAGGATCATTGCGAGTTTGAGACCAGCCTGGGCTACAAAGTAAGCTCAAGGCCAGCCTGAACTGCATAGCAAGATCCTGTCTCAAAAAGACAAAAAAAAAAAAAAAAATTTACAAACAACCGGGTTTGGTGGTAAATGCCTATAATTCCAGAACTTGGGAGGCTGAGGCAGGAGGAGCACCACAAGTTTGAGGCCAGCCTGGACTACATAGGGAGACCTTGTCTCAAGAAAAAATAAAAGGTTTACAAACAAAGAAGGGGAGATGCTGGGCTGTATCTCAGTGGCAGAACCCTTACCGAATGTGAGGCACTGACTGACAGTCCGGGCCCCTGGGGAAAGGCTAGCCGGCCTCATTTTACCCCCACTCCCACCCCCCGGGACCGTCTGTGGCGGGCGGTGCCATTTGATGCTGGCCTTTAACCAACTGCGACTTCCGCGTGTGGCCAGCCTGGCTCCTCAGTGAGCTGTGCTG